TCCATGACTTTGTGGAAATCTCTTTTTCAGAGAATAAAACCTGCAGAAGCTATCGATTTCCATGAAGGCGCTCAAAGTCAGAAATTTGTTTTCCCACGTCATTGGGATTTACAGATATCTTTCATTTATGATCACAGAATTATTTTTCTGACCATCAATCAGACTGGGTAGATATGTTGAACATTTGTCTATCAATGCTGGGACACGTGAACATACCACAGACTAAATGATTTCCATAAAGCCATCAACCAGTTATTCTTTCGCTATCTGTCGTTAGAACAATCTACTCGAAATGTAAAATACCAGACGTAGCTTTAATCTGATGTAAATAATTTCATTGAATGTCTAAAGATAATGTATTTCAACGGATATTTTATAAGCATCATTATAAATAACTGTGTTGAAACTGATGAAATTTTATTACATGTAGCACAGTTAACATTTTAAACAGTCTTTAACTGCATTTTAACAGTTGGCAATATTAATTTTCCGAAACTGTTTCTTGTCACTCAGGCAACTGACGTATATTTTATGCGTAAAATGTCTATCATGCTGAGGCGTATGAGGCAACTGCTACTAATTCACAGGCCTTATTTAGTTTCCCAGGTCAGTCCAAGGTCGCTGAAGATCAGGCCGACTTCCTGTTAGGCGCATATGCATGAAAACGATGTATACGGCAGGACATGAACTCCTAATGACACGAAAGGCTCCAAAGTCCCAGAGAGCGACGGATACACCTTTAGAAATGATGGTAGAGAGTGTCCGGCCTGGATTATTCCATTGAGGCCGGCCATATCTCGCACTCATCTCTCTACCAGTACCAACCCCCTCCCACCGTTGTTAGACAGCGGCACCCAAGCATTTCAGCATTTACTGCCTGCATGGTTACCACAGAAGTGGCCAGGATCAGGAGCCAGTTGGTGACTTCTCCCAAAGACTCATTCTCCAACCAGGAGGGATGGTGTAAGCTTCATATCTTTCAACATTCGATAGCTACTGCTGATGCGCTCACCAGGGTAGACCTCATCATTAACCTGCAACCCATACCAGAGATATGGGAAAAGATACTGGCTAACTCCCTCCCAATAGTCTGTTCCTGTTTAGTCGTACTGGGTGTATACAACTAATACATGTGATACCACCTAAACTATTACTACCACTTTACACAGTAATGCTTCAAATGGGTAAAAGTAACTGCTCGAACACTATGTCAACAAAAACATTGAACCAGAAGATAGTTTGGATATTATGCGTTGGGGCTGAACATGGTGTTAAAATAACTATGATACTTCAGCCAGCCAGCAACAAATTGGAAACCAGCATTATTACATAGCGCTCCTAGTCGCTATAACTCATATCAACACATCATAGTAGGAGGAATGGAGATAAAATAATCAAGAAATAAAGAAGAATGTAACATTACATGATGAGAAAATGAAGCAATAATGAGATTCAGTTTGAGGATTCAAATGAGATTGTACGTACGAGTAGAATTAAATTGGATAAAAGACTAAAGTTAATCAGACAAAACCTGTGACAGATTTCTGGAGTCACTAAATGTCGGTAAACTTTGTCTATGGAAATATAGGCCTACTAGTTGAAATTCACAAAATAAGCAAAATAGATGAATGCTGCTAGATTGTAGAGAAAGATTGATAAAATCTCCATAAGTAACCACATTTGCGTTAAGCCCTTTTCAACCGATTGCTTCGCTTCGAAATTTCGAAGAAAACACATAAACCAACTTGTAAGTAACAGATTAGTTGAGGAGGTGAAAAATCAACAGGATTTAAATCTGATGGGCCTGGAAATAGCCTAATTCATTGCAATATATATAAACCTTGTAATTTGTATATATTGTGGACGTTGCCGTTGATGTTTTAAATACACCATTCTGTTCTATTCCCGCCTTTTCTATTTACGCGAAACTGAATAACCATTAAGGGCAGAATTTAAAGACATTTGTACATGTGTCCACAAAACATAATTCAGGCTCTATTAACTCACTGGTAAAGATATATATAAGTGGTGACTGGATTACAAAACAAATCGCAAACTGTAACCATTATATAGATGAATATCAAACATTTATTTAAAGTCCCTAAAAGGTGGTTGTCGTCCTGTCAATTCTGTTTCCTTTCATTGTTTTGACTCCTACCTTCCGGGTGAAGCTCACATATTTTAAACTGGTCAATATAAAGTACTACATAGTTGTATCACATCTTGTAATTCTTTCTTTGCCAGTAGATTATCAGAATTAATTTCAGTCATAAAGTGTCCCATAGATGCATTTGATTTACTGAATAATTCCAACATATGATAGATTTATAACTTTGTATTAAAATGTTTCATGCAATATTCTTTTATTGTTAAAATCGCCTTATTACTGACTTTAATCTCTTCTTTATTTATCTAAAACAGGGTAATTCAAAGTATTATTACTACGGAATACGTATCAAGGCTACATCTGCAATTAGTCAAACAGCAGAGGTGAAATCAATGAGGACATGGTAAACCATCAAAGAAAAATAGTGTACCTTTTGTTTATTGTGGGTTATTCCTTGGTTAATTTACTGAATGATATTTAAGACGATAACATATCATTGATTGATGAACCTGATGGCTTACTGACAGGATGAAAGAACGCTTTAATTAATTTAGGTAGTCAAACAATATGGGAATTTTTACGGTTAGAATTATAATCCATCAAGTAGAAATCAACGTTGACTTTTGAAAAGAAACCAACTCTTGATGAACTGTACCCTAAATGGTATTCCGCGTGTGCTAAACAATGAATCTTAATATGATATGATATTTTATTGCTAGTGGGAAGACAGTGTACCAGAATGTTTTCATTTACCAAGCAGGCATTTATCATGAATATGATTTTGACATAAATTTTCTTCAGAACACATCAAAGTGGAAACTAGAAATTCAACCAACTGGCATATGATATTCATCTGTCAGCCGGTTTTTGATTTTAGTGAAATCATTCAGAGTTTGGTTTGCTTGCAAACTGTTGAATAAAAGATTTGTAAAAAAAGGAATGTTTCTCCAAAAATGAAGTATTCATGACAGATGTTGCGGTAACTTGATGGAATCAGTGATACTTTAGAAATGATTGGCGTTAAGCAAAATATTGGAATAAAATCCAATGAAAGCTTATAGTAGCTTTTTAACTATATGGAAGAAATTCAGCGGAATGCAATAGCGAAGATTTTATCCTTCAAAAAACTCAAAGCTCCAGATAAAAAAATATTCTGTTCCATCAATCTCAAGTTTCTTTAACTTTATAGTCTTAGATGGAATAAAGTTATTCTTGTATTAGTTAAGAAACGTAGTTCTGTGTGCATGTATTTCAAGGATATACTTGCATCATTCGGAAAGACATTTTGGTAATTACAGCAACTTATTAAGAATTACTAGTTAGACATTGGTTGGAACAAAATTTGAAACATTAGAAAAAAAATTGAAAAACAGTTTCGAAAGGTACTAAGTACAGTATAGTATGGTGAGGTTTATTTCACCAACTTCTCATCAGCTATTTTCACCCTAAAACATTTCGATATCATACAACAAGGGAATATGAGGATACCGTTTGCAATCAAATGATTATTTCAGTTAGTTTTTGGACTTATTGTCAAGTTTTTGTGAAGTGAAGTCGATATGGTGTAATAAGAAAATTCTCGACACCCAGATATAGTTAACCAAAGATACTAAAGTTTCAGTTATATGCCTGATTCAACAGAGGATTCAAGAAAAGTAATAAACCTAGTGAAAAAGTGTCTTGTTATTCGAAACCAAAGATTACTCAAGGAGAATAATATATCCATTATTTGATGACAAGTGACAAACATTATGCAGTTATGCAATGAGTTGAACCCAGCTAATTAAGACGATAATGAAGGTGTTGAGAGATGTCATTGGGTAGGAAAATGAGTGGGATCACCGTAGCAAATCCACATTGTAGCCCACCTAGGCTTTGAGGTTTAGCTATTCGACCTAGTATACCAAGTACCAATAAATAATCACAGTATAGAAAGACATCACTGCTTCTTTCTGCATACATTATTCCCGTTTGATTCACTTGATCGGTAAATACTGAGAGAACAGACCCAAATTGAAAGTAATCAACTTTTCATTACTCTAGACGATATTAAAGTGACCATTAATGTCCCATTTCTGTCTGTTTATTATTGTCACACAGTAAAACAGTACTATTTACTAGATAACGTTTTGGACACAATTTATTGTCCATTTTCATATTACCTCGTGTTATGCCTGACATGTTTAATTGACTTTGTGGTGTTAGCCCTAGGATTTTAGCCTAAGAATCACGCTTTTAAAATCTAATTCATTTACTAGGAGTGTAACACCCAACTGGAACTAAATGAACTCATATGGTAGGCTTCATTGATGCGTACATGGTTGTCAGTCATTCTGACCCAATTGTTTGTAGTTATTATAATCTCTTACCTAGATTAGTTTATAAGTTTTCTAACTGTATACATAAAGTAGCATCTATTTGTCACAGTTCTACGATATAATGGAGACAGCATTTAAAGCGCCTTTTTTATCAATAGCCACTCAAAAACGAGAGAAATATTATCTTCAAAATAAACGTATGAAACTATAGGTTGTATGTATATTTACTTCAACTTATTGTTAATCTTACATTTAACTTATAGCAATAAACGAGATAATTCATCGTGTACAAGTCGTAATCTTTCGAATGTCACTTGTAATGTAGCATCAAGTAGAAATGATATCTATAAAACAATTAACCATCAGTATTCTCATAGTGAACAGCAAAGACGAAAAGAAGATAAATATAGTCAAACGAGTTTATTCGGAATACAATCGAGTTCATACCGAACCTCTGCAAAATTCGAAAGATCTATACATACCTCACTCTCCTCCTCTTCCGTGTCGTCATACTTATCATCTCCATCGTCTTTAGGAGTAGCAATACCAACCTGTAATAGTAATAATCAAATAATGATGAACTCATTGTATAATCGCATCTCAAACGAATTTCGCACAAGTTTGACGTATAGTATGACTCCAACATCAATAACAAATTATAACAATAAGGATAATTTATTAAGGAAATTATGGCTATCAAATTGCATCAGTTCTATACGACATAACAACAATAATAATGGCAGTTATCTTATAAACTATAATAAGAAGAAACCTACAAATTACAGAACTAAAACAAGTCTAGATCCATTGAACAATTTCAGTTATGGAGGTTCAATGAAAAATTTATTCAACTCAAATATTCATACGGATTTTGAAACAGATTTGAATTTAAATGTTAAGTGGGATTTTCAAATTAATGCAAACTATGATAATATTAAAAGTCAATGGAATAAGTGAGTCCATTTCAAGGTTTGAATTATTTTTTCTTGAAAATATTTGTCATTCTCTCTATAAAAAGGTGAACAGTCTAAAATTTAATATTGAACTAGTCATAATTGTCGGGATACTGTCACCAACTTCTGTTGATATTATCTAGAAAAACAGTAGTGCAACAGTAAGGAAAAAGTAAGACGACGAAATAGAGAATTGGAATACTCATAATAAGCATTTGCAAAGATCTGTAGGATATTCATTACGAGTAGAAGTTTTAAGTCTTTAAGTTTGTCGGCCTTGTGGTTAGGTGCAAACATATAGCCTCTGAATAATCGATAGATTTCTTTAGTAACATGGTTTTCATCAAGCCTCCAGTTTCACTTCATGCACTCATAGCACAGTTTGAAAGTTTGTGTAGATTCATTAGTTTCACGAACAGATGTCAGTTGGGGGACCACTGAAAATGTGGACTGATTGTACAGTTGTTTTATCCTAGAATGAGATTTCTCAGCAGTGCACACTAATGACCCCTTCATATTTTCTTATTTCTATCACTTAATGATACAGCCCAATCTTAATCGAATGCTGTCAGCAAGCGTTCTTCCGCATATATGAGTTGGTTGAACTCTTAGGCGTATCTTATCATTAGAACTTCAGTGAATCCAAATCGAGGTATGTCACTAGTTAGCACTGGACAGTTTATAGTTTTGTGAACACTGATTAATTTCAAAGTAGTGTTCATCACCAAACGATGAAGTACCATTACAAGAAATGTGAAAATCAGGACTATCGGATTCTGACCAAGTGGCTGAATGATAAGATGTCATCCTTGGTTCTGATGGTCCTAATTTGATCGTTTGCCAGTTCATTGGCGCTCTCTGCTGAGTAGTTTCATCTTAAGATAAAACACCTATTCTGTGGTTCTAGATTTTCAATGCTTTTTAAACAGATGTCAGTCTATGATAAATACTAACATGAATTCATGACAGAGTTATTATGAGTATACAAAGCAATCAACACCGTTGTTTGCAGTAAAGATCTGTATAAATACTTACTGGATGATTAGCATACTATGCTGCAATTTTCGACGTTATGATATATAGGACGTGATCATTAAAGGTAGATAGTATATGAAGGGTGACGGCGTTCAGAGGGTGGTGGATATATTGAAAATGAACTAAAAATAATATCAGTTTAAATGGAAAAATAGAAAATAATACCAAAAGCAGTGAAAACAAAATATTTCAATAAAATGAATCAACCAATTGAAGAAGAAGGCATTAATTAGTGAAAATTCAGTTCGCAGTGATACATTTGGAGAATTTCTGATCTACATACTTTAAAGAAACAGTTTAATGTAAATGAGATTATAGGGAACCGCTTAAAATCAGTAGCAAATGAAACAGCTCACAACTCTGTTAACAAAAAGTTTACTTATCCTGGAATCTTCAAGATAATGAAAACAAGTGGTTCAGTGAAGAGACTCTTTTCAGCGATATGACTCACTAAGCAGTATAATCACATTCATGTACATCTTTTTAGTTGTTGGTAGTGGGAATGTACACTTTGTTTTAATATGTGCAACGGTTCTCTTGAGCGTGCCAACCTGCAAATATACAATGCATATAGAAATCCTAAAATAATCGAAATATTTTTGTATGTTAAAAATTAATAAAAAGGAAAGTGAAGCTGCCATGACTTAAAAATTCTGGGTTGCTTAGATTAATGAACGCTACTTAAGATATCATAGAAATCAAGTCAATATCATTATGTTTGAATTACCAGTTGCATAGCGTGAAAAAATATTTAACGCGTGAGTTTCTATCAGGTGAGTAAAGCAACAAGGAATAACTGGTAATATGTAAAGAATGAATAGAATAAAAGATTTGGAAAGGGAGTTGTTTTGAAATGCTGAAGATCAAGACCATGAGAGCAGCAAGGGTTGAACAAACCTCTTTTGTATACAAGAGTTCGGCTTCAGCAATATAAAAGCGATGGATGCTCATTGATTGCAATCACCATCTTGGTGAAGCTAAATTTAGGTAAGGAGTCTTAGGTGGAATATAAAATTTCTTATATTCTAGTGGCTCAGCCATATGCTCCACAGAGAGTAATACTCGGTCTTTTTATGACGCTGTTTACATTTGTCAAGGGGACTAATTACTTTAAAAAAGATATTATCTAACGAACATTGTGTAAGCATGCAAAGAACTTCTGCTTGGTGGATGTACTAACAGTTTGCACAGAATAATTAAAATTCGTAATTCAATATATCCAGATTCAAGTATCCTGTATACATAAGTATCATTTCTAACAGAAGGCAGTGAAGACACCGAATGCTTCGTCAGTTGGTTTAGGAAAGCTACATCCAACTTAGTTGTCTGGCTATACAAACAGTTTTGGACAAGAGAAAGGGTACTGACTTAAATTACAACTGCTGATTCTACTTGCAACGCCAACCAAGTGCTCCTAGTCTGAAAAAGATGGATGTTCCATACAGCATTTATTTGTTTTCTGCTGTATGACTTTCAGAGGTGGAATAGAAGTGAAGGAATAACGAAAGTTATGCATATTCTACTGTCTTTATCTTTGTAACATCACAGTCATGTACAGGGAATACTGTATGTCAGCTTGTGACTTAACGCGACTACTTCAGTATCTATGCTTCTTAAGTTTGTTGATTCTGGAGTAATCAAATCACACCAGTTTTATGCAGAAGCTTGAGTAATACATCGTATACACAATACCTACGAATGTATAGTAATGATGTGCCGTGGCTAGCAGTGGAATCCAGGATGCGCATTTCTTCCTATTTGGGACTCGCCAGCTGGATGTACCTGTGTCCCAGTGAGTGATGTTGTGAAGTGGATAACGCCTTCACGTTTGAAGCAATAGCTCCCGAGTCGGAATCCCGGTGGGAACAACATCACTCACTGGGATGCAGGTACATCCAGCCAGTGAGTCCCAAATAGGAAGAAATGCGTATCCTGGATTCCATTGCTCCCCATTATCCATCATTAATATACATAATTAAAACACAGGCAATATTGAGGCATCCGCACAGGCGCCCATATGTCAACAGAGACTATTCAATTCAGTCCGGTTAACGACGGTGTAATACAAGCAATAACACTAATATCTAAGAATGATAAATTGATAAAAAACCATATTCAAAAAAGTCCAGAGAAGATTTGTTTTTCCTCGATTTCATTCCCGAATATGTGCAGTCTTACTTATTTATAGTTTCACTTGGGGACTACATTCAATCTTTAGAGGCGATATTATTGAACATGAAAAGTTATCATCAGTTAAGTGACAGTTAAAGTTGCCAAATATAGTGAATATTATCCACAGTCTAGTGAAAATGGAATACAATTGACTGATTTTCAAGAATGAGCAGCGCAAAGTAATGGAAGTCTTGAAGAATGAATTTTTATTAAGGGTAGGGAGACAATTAAGGTTTGGTGCTGTGTAAGAAGTGAAGAGAATGGACTCTGAAAGGAGAAGAGGTTGAACAAATTCCTTTTCCATACGAAGCTTTGCATTTTCTTCATGACTACCTAAAGTTTCAATAATACAAAGGAGATGAACATACACTACTTTTGGTAGATTCTTTTTGCCCCTGAAGATAAACTTGAAAAAGAGATTGTTCTCTGATATTTGTAATTTTCCCTAGCTTTACTAAGTCAGATTGCTTGACCTCTGTTGCCAGATGGGCTACTATTCGGATGCCTCGATACTGTCCGAACACCCAGTATGTTATATTCTACTTTACTGCTAGGGGTTGAACCCACTACACGCGTTTCATGATCATTTGGATGAACCTAAACCACAGTGAGTAATGTAGTCTCCGCTGAGACTCGAACCCAGTACCCAACACTTTAAAAGCCACAGCGTCATCCACTACGTCACTGGAGAGCAATTTCTTGTGCAAAAGGTGTAGATTGTTGTTTTATATTTGTAATTTCTGGTTGCTATACTGGGTCGAGATTGTGGAAATCGTGAGGCCATCATGCAGAAAATGTTGAATTATTACTTTTCGCATGTATATACCACCACTTTCTCGTAACCATGAAGGCTAATATTCTTAAATCCCATTGGATAGAACTTGCATTGAATGACGTATGCACCTAGCTGCATAGAAGCAGATAAGCTCGTATACATACATGGAGATGATTACAGGCAAGATCTTATCCTTCAAGTAGTAAAAGAATAACAAGTGACTAGTGAAGACTGCTGACAACTTTGCTGTAAAAGACATTCTTCTTGAAAAGCTCGATAAACTTTAGTAGCTGGATCACTTTTAAATTCAAGACTCATAGATAGCTTCTTCTCCGACAAACTCTGAAGTGTTTAATAGAAGTTTAAACCAAATCACTATTACGCATTGGCAAGAAGATTCTTGTATATAGATAGTTCACTTTTCTGATTTGTGAATTATAGTTAAGTCAACTGATTAGTGTTTTCACTTCAACGTCTGTATTTCATTCAAAAGGGAGATATAATTTGACCTGAAAGACTACCAGACCGACAAACATATCAGCATAAAATCTCAAGCAAAAGTAAATGGCTTCAAATCTACACATTTCTCATCAGAATAAGTTTAAGAAAAAAGTACATTTCTGAAGTGAACACAGAAGGATTTGTCAAATGAAGCTGGAACAAATTAATAGGAATAAGAAGTTGAGGAACTTCACAAGTATAAAGACTCAAAAATCTCTTTATTAATGTATTGTAAGTAAATTTTTAATGCAAAGTTTACACACAGTGATAAGTTTTATTTTGGTAATATTTCGAGCAACATTACTGCCCTCGATTGCAGCAACAGCTGGAATATTTTAGAAATATGTATTCAAACACTTACCTGTAGGTACGATATATATATATATATATATATATATATATATATATATCATTTTGCTCAAAATATTACCATAAAAAATAAAAACTTATCATTGTGTGTAAATTCAGCATTACGAATTTTCTTATAGTACATTAATGTCAGACATTCTTGGAGATATGTTTACTCTTGAAGAATTATTCTCAGTGATCATTTCGTTTTTCTTAAATCTTGAATTGCTGTTTTAATTTTGATCTTTCCATAATTTGAAGATCTATAAGGTCAAGTGAAACTGAAACTGTACATGAACAAAAATCTCACTTTGGCAATAATCCTAATCTAAAATTTACATTCTCAAACTTGATTGAATTATGTGATTTAGCAGGATTGCATATTAGTGAATATGGTAAGTATTAATCGACATAGTATATAAAAGACTTTTAATGATTTTTTTTGCATATTACAAGTGTTCAGTATACTTTGAAAAAATAATATTGTTTGGATACTTATCCAAATGAGTATGAGAGGGGAATTAAGTTGATTCATATATCAACATGTAGCTGAAGTGGATTTCTATCCTGTGACCAACTAGCCAAAAATGTAGAACTGGAAATACTTCCGCTGTTGACTGAGCAAGTAAAGTGTTGAGCAATTTTCACTGTGAATATTATATGAGTTTCATAATAAGAACAAGTCAGTCAAAAACGAGCAACAGCAATTGTTTAGAAGACTAACAGTTCATTGTGAAAATGACTCAACTAGGTGTATCCCAAGGATGAGATCCTACTACGATTTCTCAATGAAATCAAAAAGTTTGAACCGTAGAATATTTTCTGCACAACATCAGAAGTGGGATGTAGAGATTGAGGAAAAGGACTGTACTATATGTACTGGTGAATGTATGAATGAAATGCACTCAGCAGCTTTGTGTCCATACGTACAGTGAGGATTGAGTCACACTTGTTGTGAGTGAGCTAACGATACTATGATCTGGCCACTCGAATCTCGGTAGGTGGAGCCGTGTTCAAACTTTTGACTCGTTTGTTCGAAAGTCACAACCATAGTCCCACCATGTACTACTGACTGACATGCGAACTCTCAAGTTATCAGTACTAATTACTAACCAAACCCAGATCATTTTAACACTGGAGCCAAAGTCATTGGTCATACATTAGTATCGATTTATGTCACAGAACCAAATTATTCCTTATGTTTTCTTACTGCTTATTTACTGGTGTCTCATTTTTTTTAGAGGTCAGCCAGATTTTCTGTTCGTTTGAGTCTGAAACAGACTGTAGTTTGACCCTAGTAATTATACAGAAAGATTATCACACTAAGGCATCTGAAAATTAACGTTTGACTTAATGGTGAATACAACTGTAGATTGTTGAGTGTATTAGTAAATCAGCTCAGGCTGTAAGTGAACCAGGTAAAAACACTCATATACTATGGACTTCGACTTGAATCGGTTTGAAATGGAGTGGATTCATGTTGCGTAGAAGAATGCTCTTGGAGAAATGTCCAAAATAATTAGGTAATCAGTGACACACAAGACTAATTAGTAAGTTATATCCTGAGATATCACCTGTCATGTTTTGGAAGTTAAGAACAGGACTAGAAATGGTTTATGGAGTGTATGGTGGGTATATGATAAGAAATTACGTAACTTTTTACTAAACCACTTCTGTTTTAAAGACAAATAAAGGATAATAGTATTTCACTGCTTATGGTATTACCAACAAGAGACAGAAAGTGCACACTGAAGAAACTGACCTATGGTTAAGTTCATGAAAATCCGTTGTCGATTTGCTTACGTGTTGGATATACGTTATGTTGCAAGCTGTAACCATTAGGATGATTGTATACTTCAATTACTGTGTGAGCCATTTGAAAGCAAATGAAATATTCTTGAAAACCTTGAAGGTTGAAATCAGAAAAGACCACAGAAACAATGACAAATTAACTTTCTCCTCTTCTTCTTCTTTCTCCCCCTCCTTGTAGATATTTCATCTTGTATTATAAAATCTGAGTTCCATGAACATTACACGGAAAGTAATACATTCAAGTCAAGTATTCAACAAAAAGCTTATTTTGTCAAATTATATGAAATACATTGTGAACAAGTTTATACTGCTGTTATTAATATTCAAATAGAAAATTTACAAACAATATGGCATCGGTTTTGGTGTTCATCGGAATCTACAGTGAGTTATTCTAAGTGTTGATCTGATTGCGTGGAATAGCTTAGACTTAGCAGACTAGTCTTTATTCATTCATCAATGCAGACCAATATATTTTAAGCTATCTAGTCATCTATCTATCATTTTCAAGTAGAGTCACCCAACAAAGAGACTTATGATCGTCATGCTTTTTGAGTGATACTCAACGATTGAAGGCAATCGATAGAAAGCCGTATACCTATGTTTCGTTCCCATCTTACACTCAGCTGAGCATATTCGGAGTCTCCAAACAACTGGAGTTTTATTGAAGACCATAACCCATTTTACCCGATTTTGGAGTTCAAGAGGGTTTGTGTCTGTGAAAAAGAATTTTACTGGGGAGATCTGGGCCAATGGCTTCTTTCTGATTATTTCTGATAGCAAAGTATCAAACTAGACCTTCTGAAATGAGAATCAAGTTTGATGAAATAAGGTTTTTCCACGCAGTGATATGGTGTACTGTGTATTGGTATAGAATTATGAGACAAATCAGACGATAACTAACTTAAAATAAAGAAATCTAGCGCTTCTTTATTCGAAGTGCAATGGTAATACCATGCTTATAGACACTATTCGCCAACTGACTAAGTGGGATCTGAGTATTCTATGTGTTATTGCACAATAAGATGATATCGTCCGCTTATTTAGGGTTGAATACCCGTTCTCTGGGTAGTAGATCTACATCACTACCAATTACCTTCAAAGCTGCTTCGAGAATGTCACCCATAGGAAAGTTAACGAGGAATAGAGAAATCACGCAACCCGACCTGACCCCACTATTGATATGTGTTCATTATATTGACTACAATGAAAGTCTTATGGTTACATCAGTTAACTTAAAGAGCACAACACTACTAAAATGGCTTTCCTGAACTACAAATATGTGTCACTATGACATATCATTAGGATGTCTAACTGACACTGGCTACCTCTAATTTTCCTCAGAGTCTTTTGAACTGAAACCAGAAAAGGTCTCACTTTCAACCAACACTTTCATACTTTAGGATCTAGTTAACAATTTATGAAGTATATTTTCTCTTTTTATAGACGTGTACATCAGAATGTAGCTTACCAAAGAGTTATTTAATTGAATTATGCGATGATTCAAAGATTTGTCAGTTCATTGAATTAGCCGATAGAACATTATATCAAATATTATTGGATATTATTATAAACGATAGTTTGAAAACACTATGCAATGATTTACTTCAAGCATTACAAACAATGATTAAATTAATGGAGGTAAATGTTTCCGTTGATTATGCCCTATAGATATACCTATTTATATTTAAGAGAAACGGTAACGTTCGGTAAATATAGATAAAATGTTTTTTAAGACTTTTATAGTCTTGTATATTCAAAATAAATAGTGAACAGACCATTTTGTCAACAACATAAAAATCTCATACTTGAATTCTCCTTTATGAATTAGAAAAGAGGAAGTACAACAATGGGAGTAGTAAGAGAAAACAGAACTATTTTATTTCGATATTACCTGTTCTGAACTACTGACAACCTAGAATATCAAAATATATAGTTTGGAAATTTCACATAACCAACGAAAACAAAATATTGGTCAATGGTTGAAATGGATAGAAAAAGTCCATAGACCAAAGGTCAAATACATCAGTGAATTTAAGGAATGTCATTCAATGGTAACAAGTGTTTTTTTTACAGTTTTATACACTTCAGTGGAAGTTTTTCGAGTGAAATACAAAGACGTGAGTAACAGTCAGAATACTGAGGGACTTAAGACTGGACAGCTGCCTAAGTAGGTCATACGATAAATAAGCGAAATATTGTGAGCTTAATTTAGTAAGTTAAAATCATCCGATATGAACAAACAATGATGCAGTGAAATAAGAAAAGAAATAAATGTCTAAGGCTGACGAAGTATGACGTAATAAAATAACAGTCAAGAAGCGTTTTTGTAAAGAAGACAGAGGTTGATCATAGCTTTTTTTGAACACATGACCTAATTTTGAGGTTTGAACATCTATAGCTTCAGTAAACTTCAAGAGGATTGAGTTTGTAATGATGGGTAGTGGCCAGCAGTGGAATCCAGGATGCGTATTTCTTCCTATTTGGGACTCGCCAGCTGGATGTACCTGCGTCCCAGTGAGTGATGCTGTTCCCCACCGGGATTCCGACTCGGGAGCTCAATGGTGTAGTGGATAACGCTCTCACATTTGAAGCAATAGCTCCGGAGTCGGAATCCCGGTGGGAACAACATCACTCACTGGAACACAGGTACATACAGCTGGTGAGTTCCAAATAGGAAGAAATGCGTATCCTGGATTCCACTGCTCCCCATTATCCATCATTAATATACATAATTAAAACACAGGCAATATTGAGGCATCCGCACAGGCGCCCATATGTCAACAGAGACTATTCAATTCAGTCCGATTGACGACGGTGTAATACAAGCAATAACACTAAAGATTGAGTTTGGTGGTTCGTTTATTATCTTGTAGGAATAGAAGACTTTTGTTTGATTTCCGCTTGTAATTAGATGCCGGGTGATTGGACTGTTCATGGTGTGACTCCCTGTCAGTCTTAGGCTCTCCGGAACGCCTTTTGGAAAATTTAAGATGCGCTCTTCTATCTCTTCTTCAAGTGCATCATCTTCGGCAGATTTGTATTATATATATCACTGAAAACTTATTTCCATTTATTAACCTTTTTTGAACTAGCTGTTATGATTGACTTTAGCTGCATGTCTTCTGTCCGTAGTAACCACTGACCGATATTCTGTTTTTGTTAGGCTGTAAGCAGCGAAGAGAGGTTACTCTTAAAATAAAATGGACCTATTTCATCCTCTTGCTCCGACTGTTGTTCTTGGTGTCTTCAAATAAGGAAAATTCAAAACACCAAAGCGTCAGGTGTTTGTTTTCAAGGGGAGAAAATGCATTTTGAATAACGATTCACTTAAAAAAGGATGCAAGCAATAACGAGATACTTTTTGTAGCAGTCGAAAGTCTAAAATTAAGTATTTTGGAGAATTGTATGAGAAAAGCTAATGATAGACAGCAGTGAACCTTTGTATAATGAATAACAATAGTCACGGTGTCAAATGAAAGAGATAGGTCAATATAGAACCTTGCTCAGATGTGTATCAAACGGAAGAGGATGAAGAGGAGGAGAAGAAAAATAGAATGTTTTTTTAAATGAACAGAAAGGTGAATGAAGGTTTTGGAAATGTTCTCAACTCTAAGGATGATGAAGAATGAAAACATTTTCATGCCTGTGATATAGCTTTGTCACTAAGAATGTCTATTTCCTGATTCCCAACATACCGAAGACCCCAGTCAGACATCCTAGCCACTCTTAACTGTCTTCTAACATAATCTTGCTTTGAAGTGGGACAAGTGTGGTCAGGATTCTCAATCCACAGTGAGAGTGACATAGTTCCTAACAACGCAGTTATGAGATTTCACCATGTTTTTGTGAAACGAAATTTCAGACCAAAAATATTGATCTCCGCGATAAAATAAATGAAATAGTGAAAGCAGCTGGAAGAACTAAACGTTCCAGTAACCGACAAATTTAGTCACAGAGTCCTCTAACCAGTCAGTAGTGGAGTAGTTCAAATGATTTGCCTGTTTGAACGCAATATATCCAGTATCATAACTGACAAGTTTGGCTGCAAGGGAACAACATGGCAGTTCGTTAATCAGATTATCTTCAAACGGCTAGCAGGCAGTGCTTCTGATCTTTACTAATGGATTGTAACTCTGACAAACAGAAGCATATGGTGTTTCATACGGGAAAATCTTAATTGTTGAAAGCTACAGAATTTTCCCTGTAGTCCGACCACATCTAGCAATCTTACGGAGGTATTTTCGTCCATTAACTTCTAACAGATGTATTTTCAAGAACTTATGAGCGGTATAATCATCTCTTAGTAGGAGGGTACTTTTTTATTCAGTACCATAAATAAAGCAAGTTAGTAAACACTGGATGAATCTTAGTATCTCGACTTAGGATTCATAGGTAAATAGCACATTACGGCCGTTACTATCTCTTTAGTAGGTATGGATAAACAGTTCGAAACATTCATCTGTCAGGCGAGAATAGGTACTCTAATTTTTAAAAATTTCCAACCTTTTTTCATCTATTTTCATGTAACTGAGGGTAAAAAGCTAGCCAGTGTTAACGATATTAGCAGCTGACAATACTCGTATATTAGACGAACGACTAAGTACAAAGACTTTTCTGCTGATCAGCTAAATTTAACAAGTCTCGATCTGCACTGATTTGAGAGCCTGGTTTTTGAGTCAAGTATCCTGCAACCTATGTTTATTTCTAATCTGAATCATAGGGTCAAAAGTACACCTCTGATTTTCGTCTGCACCTAATAAGACTTCTCAGGAAATCTTACTCTACCTAGTATTATGTGAATAATGTGGTAAATATCAGGTTGTGATACATAACACTCAAGGGTCATGTCATTCGGCGAAGTTTCAGAATCTAATCAACTAAATTTCTATTCAGTCTCTTCATCTTGGTGAATAGCAGTGGGATCCAGGGTACGTGTTTCCTCCTATTTAGGACTCATCAGCTGGGTGGACTTGTACTCCAGTGAGTGATTTCGTTCCCGCTGAGACTCGGACCTATTACTCAAAGTCCAAAAAAGGCTATCTGCTAGGCTAGCGGGACACGAGAGATACCTCTTGTGCAACGGGCATCAAGTGTTGTCTGTTGCTATACAGCGTCGAGTTGACAGACCTCTGCTGATAAATGGGTTCCTATGATGATGTCTCGAAACTGTACTCATTCATTCACTCCATTTCATTTGTTGAATAGTAGATTATTCTTTTTGAAAGGGATTCATTTTACATAGGGACGCTTCCGAGAAAACAGTAGTTAAATCACTGAGACCTTTTCAAAGGTCATTGTGAATAACATACTTGTTGATAAATGAGTTTTTCTAAACGTGTGCATATTTTTTCGCTTAGAAACTGTGTTTAAAGACTTCGTATTTCTTAAAAATGGATTCTGTACTTTCGCGGTATGCGTACTGTTACCAACATTCATTCATTTCTGCAACTATTATACATCGGTTTCGTTCCATTCATTTTGCTCATTCTTGCCTATTTCTAAAAAATCATTTTACACCACTGGAGTCAATTCATTAGATATATTACAGTAAAACAGTATTATTTACTAAATAACGTTTCGGACAATTTATTGTCCATAGTCTTATCAAGATAACTCCACAACTTTAAGACATGATTTATATCGCCCTACACGTTCCTCAAAACAAACTTTGTTGGGTTAAGGGGGAGATAAATAACGGTTCAGCACCTATTATGGGTATATGGAAAATCTTACAGCCTTATTTTAACAAAAGTAGTGAGAAAATTGAATGTTTCAATGTAGTAAAATTGTTCGGATAAGACTTTGCACAATAAACTGCCTCAGAAACGTAATTTAGCAAATAATAACACCTATGACTTCGTTTTCAAGCTATTTCGGAAATACTCTACAGAATTTTCAGCATGTCATATAGCATCAGTTGGACTGAGAGAGTGTACATGTATACATAACAAAATGAAATAAGTATAAATTACATAAAAGGGACTAATAATAATAATAATAACATAAAAAAGATAAAAATATTCACTCTGTCTACAACTCTCTTGAAAATGCACAGATAATTTAGATAGATAATCACATTAGTAATAAGGTCCAAAATACATAACTATTAACACACTGTGTACTCACTCATCAATTAGTTTGCTTTGAAAAACAGAAGTTGATTAGTTAGTTCATTTCTAATCCTTTCTCCATCACACAGCAGACGAGCTGAATACGGTATTGTAGAGCATTTATATTTTGTAGTAAGTGCAAACAGTCTTATGTACTTGCTTATTATCTTTCCAGATGACCGACACACAGACAGCTATGAGTGAAGGAGATGCTAGTCGTCAGATGAAATAACTCCTACCAGATGTTAACATGAGTTAGTATGTTCGTCCACAACTGTTTTAACTAGGAGGCTTAGAGGTACACCACTAGTTTTGCTGTCAATCTTCAAAGTTCTACACAATATAACATGGTGTTTTTTCAATGACCCAGGAAAGAATAAGGGAGAAGAATAGAGGAGAACAAGCAAGATGCACAAGATGAGAGGCTGAGTTATACCAGACATTCTCAGCTTCCTAATATAGGAAGTTAGGTGGAAAATTCTTTCGTAAATTATTAAGATATGGGAGGACCGTGAAAGGTCCGTGAGAAAACACACCGAGATAAATCATACTTGTAACATTCTCTGATGCACAACTATGAATAGAATAAGAATCATGAGAACTAGTCAGTTTACATAGGTTATGTTCACATCTAAAACTAAAGTCTATTATTATTATATTATTAGTCCCTTGGGTTCCTAGTGGAACATAGGGCTTCAGTAGCACGCCTCCAGTGACCTCTGTTCTCTGAGATCTTTTGAACCTGGTTCCACGACAGCCCAGAAGCTCTCATTTCCTCCTCGCACGACCTCCTCCATGTCACCCTCGGACGTCCAACTCGTCGCTTCCCATGGGGATTCCACTCGAGGGCCTGACGCGTGATGTCCTCAGTCGGCCTTCTCAGTGCATGGCCAATCCATCTCCACTTCTTCCTGCATATTTGTTGCGTGATAGGTTCTTGGTTGGTTCGTTCCCAGAGTTCCTTGTTGCTTATTTTTTCTGGCCATCTGATCTTCAGCAGCGAGCGTAAGCAGTTGTTGATGAATGTCTGTAGTTTATTGGAAATGCCTTTCGTGACGCGCCAAGTCTCTGAGCCATACAAGAGCACTGACTTGACGTTGGTGTTGAAAATCCGTATCTTGTTCCGCATGCTGAGTGCAGAAGATCTCCACACTGGTTTCAGGCTAATGAATGCCTGTCTTGCTTTTCCGATTCTGACTTTGACGTCCTCGTCCGTCCCGCCTGTAGTTGAAACAGTGCTTCCTAGATAAGTGAAGGAGGTTACTTCCTTCAAGTTTCTACCGTTGACGGTGATTGGAGTTTGTTGTTGTTGTTGATGGTGGTGGTGCGGTATCTTCATCACTTCTGTCTTCTCTATATTCACCTGAAGTCCCGTCTTAGCTGCCTCCTCTGTCAACTTGTTAGTTTTTGCCTGCAGATCTTCAAGTTTATGTGACATTAGGCATAAGTCATCGGCGAAATCCAAGTCTTCTAGGTTCTTTTCCGTCGTCCAGTGTATCCCCCTCTTCTCGCTGCCTACTGTTTGCTGCATGATCCAGTCCACCACAATTAGGAATATCATGGGGGATAGTAGGCAACCTTGTTTCACTCCTGTCTTCACTTCAAAGGCATCACTGAGCTTCCCATTGTGGATTACTTGGCATGTGGCATCTTCATATAGTTGTTGAATGAGGCGGATAAAGGTTTGCGGTACTCCGTAGTATTGAAGCAGTTTCCAAATTACTTCTCGGTCGACGCTGTCAAAGGCCTTCTCAAAGTCGATGAAGTTGAGGTATAGAGCTGATTGCCATTCTACGCTCTGTTCTATGATGATACGAAGCGTTGCAATTTGGTCAGCACATGATTTGTACTTCCTGAAGCCTGCCTGTTCCGGTCGCAGTTTTGAATCCAGTGCGTCTTTAAGCCTCTCCAGGATGATGCGGCTTAATATTTTACTTGGGGTGGATAGGAGAGTGATTCCGCGCCAGTTCTTGCAAGCACTGAGGTCTCCCTTCTTCGGCAGTTTGACAAGGTAACCCTTCTTCCAATCGTCAGGTACCTTCTCTTCCTCCACACCTTCTGCAATAGTGGTGTGAGCATGTCCGCTGTTGTCTCTGCATCTGTTCTCAGTGCTTCTGGCGGTATTCCATCTGGTCCTGCTGCTTTCCCGCATTTCAGTAGCTTTATGGCGTTCAGGACTTCCATTTTCGTTGGGGGATTTATGTTCACTTGTAATTCAGCGGCTGCAGGTGGTATTTCTGGACGAAGTGCAGGTGGTGGTCGATTCAAGAGCTTCTTGAAGTGGTCGGCCCATCGTTTCCTCTGTTTCTCTTCTTTTGTAATTAAATTTCCTTCTTCATCTTTTATTGGTTTCATCTGTGTTGGTCTCTTCCCTGATAGCAACCTGGTTATTTGATACAATGTCGTCAGGTCTCTCTTACCTGCAGCCTGTTCTGCTTCACTTGCCAGTGTGTCGTAGAAGTGTCGTTTGTCTTTGCGTGCACTCTTCTTCACTTCTTTATCCAGTGTTTTATACATTGTGCTCAGTTCCTCTTGTCGTTGAGCATCCTTGCACTGGTTTATCTTCTGCTTCACCATCCTCCTCTCCTCTATCAGCTTCCAGGTATCCGTCGAGATCCATTCCTTGTCTTCTTTCTTCTTCCTTCCTAATACTGTTGTGCAGGTTTCTTTCCACATAGCTTTCAAAGACTTCCAGTGTTCTTCTACACAGGTTTCTTCAGGGATGTCCCTCGACGTCTCCCATTTTGTCTTGATGGCTGCTTTGAAGATCTCCTTTGTAGTTTCATCCTTCAGTTTCCGAGTGTTGTACTTGAATTGAGGTCTATCACCAGCTTCCTTGAAGGCTTTTAACTTGATTTCGAAGGTTCCTTGCACTAGATAGTGGTCTGAACCTACATCTGCTCCTCTTCTTGACCTTGTGTTAAGTAGACTGCGTCTCCATTTTCTTGAGATTGAGATAAAGTCGATTTGGTTTTTAGTGTGTCCATCTGGTGAAATCCATGTCGCTTTGTGGATATCCTTGTGCCTGAACACACTGCCTCCAATCACCAAATCGTTGAATGCACAGAATTCTGCAAACAATTCTCCATTCTCATTCATTTCACCTAGCGCCTCTCGACCCATGGTTAGTTCTCTTCCCGTGTTGTCCCCTCCCAGTTTGGCATTCATGTCGCCCATTAGAATTTTGATATCGCCAACTGACGTCTTGTCCAGTGTTGACTGAAGTTGTCTGTAGAATTCCTCCTTTTTCTCTTGCTCTGCATTATTTGTAGGTGCATAACATTGTATGATTGTGACCTTTCTTCCTTTTGAGTTGAATCTTGCTGACATGATCCTGGAGGAGATTGGTTCCCACTGCATGAGAGCCTTCGATGCTCTTGAGGACATCATGATAGCCACTCCCTCAGTGTGCTCGTGGTTGGCGTCTGGGTGACCGGAGTAGATTATTGATTCTCCCGTTGACAGTTTGGAGAGTCCACTCCCATTCCATCTGCTTTCGCAAATCCCAAGCACTTCGATGTTATACCTTCTCATCTCCTTTGCAATCTGGGCTGCCTTACTGGGTTCAAACATCGTGCGGACATTCCATGTCCCCACGTTTACTTTCGCTTTCATCGAGAGAAGACACATCGGCCAATTGGCTTCCCGAAGGCTTTCACCAACTGGCGTCATTTCGCCTCTCCGATTCCAGCGGGGAATAAGTTTGTTTTCATTTTTTATATTTTGTTTGTGCTTTGAAGTTTCTTTAGCGGTTAGATTTGTTTTACGGGGTAGGGTTGCTAGCCCTATGCCCAACCTTCCCTCTTTACCCGGGCTTAGGACCGGCTAGTAACTAGTAAACTAGTTAACCAGGCGAGGTTAAAACTAAAGTCTATAGTGAGACATTTTGAAGAATTAAGTGTAAGACCATTAAGGGAGGCCCATCGTCTGACAGTTGATAAGAAATCGTTCAGTTGTGAACAATCTGTTGAAGAGGAGATGCGTATGGAAACGGTTGGTTCATCAGAATATTTGATAAAACTGATAATAGCTTAAGTTGTTTAGTCGTTCAGAAATAATAGTGTTTCTTTCTCTATATGATACATCTAATAAATCACCTAAAACGGAATTATATTCCACACCAATGCCCAAGTTTTACTCCTTTCATAAGAATCAGCATTATTTGGAAAATGTTTTTCAAACCACTGAAATCAGTTCTGTAGCGATGTGGATTTTACTATGTGACGAAGAATATTGATTCATGTTTAAGATTTTTATGTATGCTTAACATCTTTTCACAGTTTGATTCCGCAGGTCTTTTACAAACAAAATATTCTTTATTTTAGGCTTATCTGCAGTCGGCTATTCGACATTTTAATCCACAATTGATTAATAGAAAATTATCAGCTGTTGCCTGTTTCATTAAAGGGTTACATCGTGCAATGAGTATAAGTTGTTTCAGTCATACTGTTGGAAATATTATCAATGATACACAGAAATGCGAACAAATATTAAGTGATATCGATAAATTAGATTTAAAGTGTATTGAAGTAGGTTATTATAAGTTTGCGGTTTGAATACATTTATACATTTTTTTGACAATTTATAATACTTAATAATAAGCATATATATATTCTTGAGATGAGCAGGACTTTAATTTATAAGTAGTATTCATCAGTGACTGATATCGGCTGGGGAACCATTGAAAACCTAGTAGCACAGGGCAGCTGCTTCTCCCCATTATGGGATTCCTTGGCAGTATGCAGCCATAACACAGCTAGGGATTAAATTCAGGAACTTCAGGGTTCACGGCGAATGTGTTAACCACTCACTTACTGGATTGGAGTTGTGTTTCACAGCTTCCAACCTCTGTCAATTCACGATATAGCGCGACTATCACTCAAGGTCTTCAGTTGGCATCCGCGTCTTTTCTGACTGGTTGACCACACAGGTCATGGCTTCTCGTTAAAACTTCATGATGTCAGTCCCCATTCATCTCGAAAACACATTACTGTATTGGTGGTATTGTGTTCTCTGAGCTAGGTTGTTTAATCGTGAAGCTTTCATCTTCCTTCTAGACGACATCATCAGCACTAACTTCAGTAATATGTGAGCTGTCAATATCTCTCCGTCAGTGATTTAGTAGCTTGCCTTGACGAAGCGATCTGTGATTGGTTGCTTCCTTTGGTTGTTGTGTCATTGACTGCATAGGTTTTCCTGTTGGCTGTCCCTCTGCTTCACCTCTGACCTTCCTGTGGTTTAACACGTTTTTCATTGGTTGATAGATTCGGTCTATGTCTATACATCTATTGATTACTGACTGTCCTGAATGTCAAGACTCTAGGAATTCTCTGATATTCTTTGTGTTTCCTCTCTCCATCCAAAATTTCTAAATTATCGAAATTGAATTCATGTCCACAATAATCCATATGCATTGAAATAAGTGATGAAATGTCGTGATGTTTACTAGCCATTTGGTATTCATATAGACGAAGGAGAAGAGGGCGACCACTTTGTCCAATGTAGTGTTGACTACAGTTACTGCAGTTGATTTTGTAAATGATATTCGGTTTGTCTTCTTTGCTTGTCTCATCCTTTGTTCTGCATAAAAGTGTTTGCAGGGAATTTGTTGGTTTATGAGCCACACCAATTCCATCAAGTGGTCTCAATAATCTTGTTGTGATTTCTGATATATTCTTTATGTATGGTAGGATGATGTGTTAATTGATTTCTATCGATGACTTTGTAGTTGATGATGCTCAGGATAAGCATTTTCCGATAAAGTTTCATGGGTAGCCGTTCTTTTTTAGGATGGACATAAAGTAATTTTCTTCGTTTCTCCGTGAAGTTGTTGTACTGTGGTGTATTCTGGCTCTTCTGAATAGAGTCTGCACGCAACTGATCTTGTGTGTTGTTGGGTTGTTGCTACTGTAGTTGAGGACTTGGTCAATATGTACTGGCTTCCTGTACACTTGGGTTTCCGGCTTCCACGTATTTGTCCCATTCACCAGGACATCCAGGAATGGTAGTTGATTGTTTGACCCCTTCTCCATTGTGAATTTGATGTCACTGAAAACTTTGTTGATCAAATTGTGGGTGTTTTATATATAATCTTTTTTAATGATAACAAAAGTGTCGTTTACATAGCGAATCCAGAATTTTGGTTTGATCACAGGTAGGATAATGGTTTACAGTCTCTGCATCACTGTTTCTGCAATAAGTCCGGATGTCGGTGATCCCAGTGGAGTTCCTTTCATCTGTTTGTATACCTTGCATTGAATTGTCATACAAAGGTCGATGGATTCCATCAGACTTAAACATTAAAGTTTTGTGCGTTCTGCGAGGCTTGTATCTTGATTGAGCAGTAGGAAACTATATCCCTTCTCCCAGTACTTACAATATGCAGCAGTAATAAATTTAACCAGTTTTTCTACAACTGACAATTGACATTGTGATAAAGTTTAGACAACTTGTTCGAAAGCATTAAACAAAAATTCAGATGTCACTTTGGTAGTTGATTTTATTTTACATCACTCAGATGTATCAACTTATATATAAATTTACTACTATTGAACAAACTGAGTAGTTTGAAACCACTTGATCGGTGTGATCTAAGCATCGGATAACCGTTTCGCTCATTTGGGACCGAGATCATCAGAAGTGTACCCAAACAAACTCAGTGCTTAGAACCAAAATGTTCAGTACATCCAAATCTGGCTAGCTGACTTGCATGGACCGGTACACCTAAAACAGGATGGTCAATTCGCAAATGATTCACAGGTTGAGTTACCCACGTAGAAACTTCGTTCACACTAAAGTTGACCAGTGAACAAACTACTCAGTTGTGAGGAACGTCAGCATGAACCGTGCAATTTGGAAATCATTTGTGAATTGACCATCACGTTTATAAATTCCTATAATATTTGGTTTTCTATTTCTTAGGCATTTGGTAATTTGTATATTCTAAGATTTACGTATGAAGTTTTGACAACACAACTTTGCATTGATAATATTTCAATGTTTGATGAAGCTGCTCAATAAAGTCGTGGAAGAAGTTACTCGTGGTTCATAATGTCTAGTGACCAAAATCTTGGCTGATTCAAGTTGAATTTCTTGAAAGAGCATCTGTTTTACTGCAATTTTTGAATTTTTATTACAGATCAGTAGTAACAAACTAAAAATCTAAGCTGAGCCACTTTCAGTGATAGTTGTAGGAAATTTCTGGTTGAATTGAAAATCGTTTATGATGAACTCTTTAACTGCATAGAAGAAGAATGATTTTTGACTGCTGTTTATTTGTTTTCATGCATTTTCTTATATTCTTTTATATGTCAATAATGTTGGTCATATCTAGGCACAAGGATCTTGGGCAAGTGATTGCCTGTTATACGGACTTATTCAAAACTCTTTCTGTTCATCTTTAATCGTTCACAATTCTGGCAAAAGTTCATCAAAAAAAGGAATAAAAGAGGAACCTTCGGATCAACTGTCATCGTTGTCAACTCTCAAATCGTCAGGCTACACGGAGAATTTTATAAGTCTTACTCGTGAAATGTTTAGCTCGGAAAAGTATCTTTACAATGATGATGATAATTCATATTACGGAGCTGATATTAAGGTTTTACACTCTGAAATGTGTAATCTTCTAATGAATAAATCAAGTTTAACGATGTGGACTAGGTGGCTTGATAATATTGTTACACGAAGTTTGGTTAATTCTCCATCAGGTCCAAAACGTGCCAGTGCTGCAAGACAATTAATGCTTGTATGGACGTATTACAGGTTAGACAGTGTAATTTGATACTAACAATATATATATATATATATATATATATATATATATATGAGTTATACAATATATTCTATATGATAGCGGGAAATGTATAGGTGAAGAATATTAATCTGCCGAGTGTACCAGTGATGAAATATCCCACGGCTTTAGAAGTTGAAACATTATGTATTGTCTGGAAAGCCACATTGGTATTTTCAAAATATTTTCTTAAACAATCGTGTTTTCGGTAGTAGTAGTAGCAGTAGCCTCAGAGATAACAGTGATTGTTGATGAGCTTCATCTTGGTTTATTATATAACCCCACAAAATCTACTCACTGATACAGACAACCAAAAGACTTTTATTCTAGTTTTCAAAGATGCATTTCATTATTGCTTTTGTCAGTCATTTTAATCATTGTCATGTGGTTTAAACAGCTTACAGCCAGTTAAAAGTCAGTTTTTTCTAGGATTATGACAAAAATTTAATCAGCTGTCTGTGATAATGTTTAAACTTGTCAAATACGGCTGTATTATCAGTTTTTCCTCATGAATGATGAAGGTATCACTCGTATATATTATCTTCTAGAGGAAGATAAATAATTATTGAGTATAATACAGCATTTCCTTGACTTTTTGTAGACCAACAAGTCAGTTAACCCTCATAATGTGACTCAGTCACTACTTAACATTCTCTTTATAGTTATCTGCTGAACTTGAATTGAACACTGAAGGCAGAGCTCATACATTATTCTTTTAAACAGTATTTCAGTGGTCCGAAGGGGAAATTATCACCTTTGATCAAGTAATGTGAATAAAGAGTGGAGCTAAATCTAGTAAGATTACCCACTTACTGGATACATTGGCAATATTACTGAAATCAACAAAGTTGAGTAAATTCAACTAGCAGCTAGTGATAAGTATCTTCTTTTTCTCCCAACTCGTTAGAGGATATAAATCAGCCATTTTGCAGTAACAAAGCATGGCTTGTTAGGCAGTTTAATAAGAAACTCAGATGTGGTGAAGCATTCTGTTGACATACACTTTTGAAAATCAATAACTCATGGATTAATGATGATTTGTTTTGAAACTAATCTGTTGTGGCTCAAATACGTGACTCTGGTAGTGTGAACATGAAGGAATTCAGAATAGCAACATATTTCAACAGATGACGTTAGATAATAGTCGCCCAATGTCATAAATTAGTTGAGTTTAGTGTACGTAAAAATCACTGAACTTCAGCAAGGTGTTTGTCATAGGACTATCAACATCTGAGTTTCCCTTATGCCTTGTGAGTTTCATCACAATGAAAATGTTCTGCATTACAACAAAATAAAGTTTCTTTTGTTATCAGTGATCATTAAAATGACTCAAGTTTATGATATCTTACTTTCCAATAAAAAAGGTTTGAATAAAATAAACTAATTAGTGTCTATGGATTAATCAAATCTCCTCTTTTACTTTTTTTCTAAATTGCATCTCAAGTTCTTTATTAATGCGTGAGTTAACTTTACGATCAGCTATCAGCTTTAGTAATTGTCATTTATTACGTATGCTATGTGATGAATACTTATCATATCGTCTTGAACAAGTTGCATCAAGTCCTTTGACAACTTTACCTAAACTTTTCAATGAAACACCCTCAACTCCGTTATATCCAAACAAGAACGATAGTAATACCAATATTGATTGTTTTCAAATTACTACGGAGCATCTTGAAGGATACGAAAATTTGCCTACAAGTACCGTAAATAATATCATATCACTGAAGTCCTACCCATCAAATAATGAAATTAGTAATCAGCATGAGAATATATGCAATAAACATCTTTCCGGTAAAAACCTAACTTCTTATTCTACTGCTACTACTACTCATAATGAAATCAGTAGTAGGAATAGCATTACCGAGGATAATGATGATGGTGATATATTTATGGAGAATTCAAATACAACTTTATTATTATCATCAATCAATAGTGATAACTACCTTGAATATATTGATACACAAATTTTATCCAACCATGATGATATCGAGCTTGTTGATGAAGATGATGTTGACAATGATGCATTATGCAATGCACTATCACCAAATTGTTTATTACAGCGAAATACTACTAATACAGACAATTTATTATTTAATATGAACGGAAGTGATGATATAACCAGTGTTAATACCAGTGTAGATAGTCATGATGACCACAGTCATCTTCAGAGGGGAGTTGTCGATGAACATACTCCTAGTCACATGGTGGTGACTCGTAGTAAAGATTCATCAGACTCAGATAGACCAAATAATTATGTGAGTATAAAATATCTGTCTGTTCTGACCACAATAACTATTTATCTCCTTCGATTTTTACATTCATTAGCAATTATCTGGCTTGAAATTTTAATCAAAGTTGATGTCTTTGACTATAAAAATAAATCAGTGAATATTTATACTGAGTGATGATTGAAGGTGAAATGAAATTTTGGACAGCAGCCAGATTCGAAGCAGCGACTACTGGGGTTCCGGCCTGATGCTCTACCAACTGACCCACAAGGTTCGATTGCTGACCAGATTTTTATTTCACTTCAGTCACCAAGGGTTTTTTCTGATAAATAATTATCGTAAACGGAACCTAATATACAAACAGATCATACATGACACATATTGTCATACGTTATAGCACCGTGAAAATAAAAACTGGTTGTAAAACATAGAAATGGACAGAAGAATATGAAAGAAGAGGAAATAAATAGATGAAGGATAGTTAAAACTTTTCAGATATCAAACAGTTAATGCACCTACGCTATTTTGATCGATTTTGAGTCATATCACCAATAGCATCCAGTCATTGGTGCATAGCATTTCGAGGACTCCAGTCATCTAGTCTACTCCACACTGACTGAATTCACTCAACAGTCAGGGACTTCACTGATTGGCGCTTCAGATATTCTACTGACTGAGGTTTTTGACGAGACAATGATCGTTAACTAAATTTTATCTCCCAACACACTCAGTGCCCAGTTGCTAATTTAGGTGTGATATATTGGATTATGCACTGCATCCTTGGTTGATGTAATCAGAACTCAGATTCCAATGATCGCAGTAAAGCGTGAGGATGCAGATAGTCTCAACAGTCAATACATGATCATGCCCAGTGAACGAATCTGCATATGTTCACTAAGTTACATCTTGGTATACAATGGGGAGATACTTACCAGTTGGTACTTTAAAACAATGGATTGATCATTTAATTGAAAAGCATGTCAAACTGCATGATACAAAGCGGCCCAAATAGAAATAAACATTTTAAGTCATCAGCCACTAAGGTAGAAGTTTTCTATTTCAACGTTTGTTACATGTTATTGAGTTGTAGGGAAAAGAAATCATTGGAAGCTTTCGTCTTACAGTTCGCCAATCACAAGAAGTTACATAGCATTTGATCTAGTAGTTTTATATGTTCATGAAAACCATATATGAATGAAGCATTTTTGTTGACTTAAGTGTCTTTCTTACGGTCTACACCCGGTCTCTTTCCTCTGATACTTTTGTAGCTCATTGTGAGGGAGAACAGTCACTATTCTTATCATGCCAAAGTATCTCATTGTGTCATAGTACCTCTCTCACATTCCTTATTATTTCACTCGTTCACTTTAATGAATAATGCGTCTCTTGACTTATTATTTATATTGTACATTATATAAGCTAGTTATGCTTTCCATCTTCTGTTCCTTCTATCGTCTGAGTTAGTGAGAACAAAAAAGGAACACAAAATCCTGAACAAAATTTCTGTTACTATGATCTCAAGATGACTGTAGTTAAGTAGTCTTTTAGCAGCCAAAGCTATCAGAACTAGTTTAATTATAAAGTTTGGCTAACCAATCGAGTGATTACTGATAACATAGAATAACGAAATATTAAATTATATATACATATATCGAAAGTTTAATTGTTAGTCTGTTTACATACCTGTTATTGACGCAAATCCATTTTATACCGAGCTGTCACAATAGTGTAATTATCATTTGGCTATGTAAGATAGCTGTGGTTTGGTAGACTAGTACTGATACTGGGTGAAATGAAATTTTGAACCGCGGCTGGATCGAACCAGTAACCATCGCGTTTTCATCCCTATGCTCTAACAACTGAGCTACGAGTCTGCGGTTCAAATTTGGTAACGTGCGAACCAAGAGAGCTGAAGGTCATGGCTTCATTTCCCTGAGGTGGCCACGTGTGTACACTCTTGGGACAAGATCCTGCACTGGGACTTGACCAAATTTCTAGTGCTGCCAGGTTTTCATTGGTTCTCCAACTGATGTCAGTCCATGATAATTGCTACTCTGAAATCGATGAATTCTCACAAACTTCCAAACAGAAGAACACAAATCCAAGTGTGCTGTAAACTATTTCCAGTTTTATTTTTTGCTTAAATAACTTACAGTGAATTTTAACATTATACTGTCGTTACCATTTTTATATTTATTGTTTTTTCTGTGAATATTTTTGCATTGTACTTGGCAAAATAGTTCTCATTTGGCTTTAGTAATGATCCCATTTTAACTGAAACCACTCAATTCAATGATCCCGATGATGATTATGCTAAAAGTACACTTTTAAATGATGGTATTATTGATATTGACCATAGTAAGTATTGGTCTTGTCGACAGCACCCATCAACACATCATTATTCCCCAAAGAAATCTTTGGAAACCCTCAATCGTTCATCTTTTGTTCTTTGAACAATTCAGATACTGAGAAAAGAAGATTTCCTCTAAATGATGTAACAAATATTGCATTATCTGTTTCAAAAACACCAGTCAGAGCTGATACTAAAAACTTTTGTATCAGTGATACAGTGGCACTGCCTTCAACCTTATCCTATTCTTCTTCTTCAAGTCGACCAAATCGTAAATTATCAAAGCCAAATATATTACACATACAGACACACATGAAAACATACGATGAGGACCAACAATCAACTAGCTACCGTCAAAATGATACTTATTGTTTTAGCAATCGTAATTCCGGGTCTTTTTCCAAGTGCGAGTCGTCTGATTGGTTGGAATCGAGTGTGAAAGTGGAAAACAATGACAATATTAACAATCCTAAAAACAATAAGAGTAATTATTACTATAATCAAAGCATAAATAGTGGCAATATTGTTGGCAAAGCGAACAAAAGTTTTCTAAAATTATCATCATCAAGTCATGTGGAGCAACGGATCGTGGCTTCACTACCCGATGATTTAATTCGGACAACGAACAGTCAAGTAAGATGAAATATTTTATTGTCTTTGTAACAGGATTATTTTTGCTTGGGAGGACTAATTAAATCATTGTAATTTACCAAGAGAACAGTGTGGCTTGGTATCATAAGGTAGTATCATTCTAGTGAATAATTGGAAGTTGGAAACTTTGATGTAGTGTTTTTGGTTGGATAAGTAAAAATAACATGGTGGTATCTGAGATACATACCACAGACATGTTGTAAACATTTACAGGTTATTTTGTGGATTCCTGGGTGTTTCTAGTACTTTCCAAGTCTGAGCGTACATGAATAAAGCAGTCATTTCAACATTTCGGTCAGAGGTATTCGGATACCACTAGCATGCTCTAATGGCTAGACTACGTGACCACATCACTCAAACTGTCTCTGCGGTTCTCTTACTTGTTTTTTCACATAGTAATCTGAATTTGGAGTTAATCGACCCCATATTTATCAAATATAATACTTTGTGAGTTCATATTACCCGCTGTTGTCTAAAAACATGGAAAAATAGTATACTTCTTTTTTCCGAAGGTGCAGTTATTTTTCCTTGGCTCGTTACAATTAGACGAACCCCAATAGAGTGAAATCTCGAAGTCCCTAAGTGAACCTAGTTTACTTCAAGTGGTAGAATCTTGTGAGATAAGTGTCAGCAATTCTTTCACTTCTCACTCCTTTTATGTATGGTATATCAATAATAATGGAAAATTTATTTCATGTATTTCATGTCACTGGTAAATTCGTTAATTGAGATGAAGTTTAACTACTGAATAATTTTAAACAGTTGCTTTGAATATTGATTTCAGGCACCTCGTAAAACTGTCTGCATAACAGTTGGGTCTGAAGAAAACGAGAATTGAAGTACACTTGTTGATTTCAGATTTTTCACCCTAATACAACAGATATTTTGTGTTTTCAATGAATTCATACGTCATGATGTTAACAATAGAGAAAATAACCTTAAACACTGAAATGTTTGTTACTTGGTATTTTTTTCATCTTTGACTTAAGTCGAAATACATGGTTTTCTAATATGAAGTATTTTGTTGAATTAGTACTGTAATGAAAATGAATCTCACTTGAGTTCAAATGATCATGGGAGAAGAATAATGAAAGATAATATATTTATGAACTAACTGTGTTTCCTACTTCTGGTTACTGATTTCAATGGAACAGAAGAGAACCAATCAGGATTTCTGTGTAGCAGAAAAGGTATCACAATGGTTTTCATGGCATGTTTAACCACAAAATCGAGTCAACACTTAGGATTCTATCATGCCTCACCGTTTCGGTCAAAACAAAAAGGATGTAGAAGCTTACTGTGAAAAATTGAATCCAGTTTACTCAAGTAATCCTCACAGCCTTCAGGCATTAAGAAAAGACCTTATAAAGTATGAGTACAATTGAATACGGTTTTATGAATAACAACAGAAACTTTGTTATATCCATGTGTGCAGTAATTATAAAGTTCATCAATCTCCCTCTAGGTGTTTGTCTTTTCTGTACCTTGATCAACCATGAAGCAAGATGTTCCTAAACTTCGTGTTCACTCTGCGTAGTGCATATATCTGATTCAACAGGAGCAGCTGAAGCGGTAACTTAAGGAATACTATGGATTACTAAATCACACAGATTTTTAGAATTATGACCACCAACAGAATCTGAGGCAAACGTCTTCCTCTCAATAAGGGCTGTTGTGGTAATTAAAGCGGTGACTCAGCCAGATCTTACACAAACAGAAGCCGATGCGTCTCAGGTAGGACGAAACGAGTGTGGTGATTCGGCTGCTAGCCACCACCAAGTAAATTAGTTCAGTACTGTCTAAAATTCGTGTCGCATTTCAAAGTTCTACATAATTTCTGCTTTTAAATCTCCTGGTTGCGTTTGAATTTCTTCCAAGTATGCCAATCAGGGAGTTGTTTACATCAATCATCTCTACGTATGACTAACAGCTAACTTAGCAACATACAAAGAAATCAAGGAAACAAAGTCCACCCACTGTGTTATCATATTTACTGATGTTATAATAATGTCAGTCCGGCAAGAGTTGAAAATACTGAATGAAATAAAAGTAGGTGTTCAAGATTTGACAAAGGGTAAATAAAACTAAACTTCCAGTTACACTTTGATTTTCCACTACAATTTAATTTTTATTACAGGCTGAACTAAACACTCAGGGAACTTGGGAAGAAATCAGGATGAAAAAATAGCTGATTACTCAAGTTATTTGATTAGTTTTGTCAGTGAATTCTGAACTTTATTGATGTTGATCTAGAATAATCAAAATATTTATGAACTTTACCATACTAGAATTATCAGTTGCCTAATTTTTATTGTCACAACCAACTGCTTGCACTGACTGAAAAGTGTTTGTTAAAACAGTCCCAGTGAGAGAAAAGCAATGACAGTCTACTTTGATTGATTCAAACATATTCATCTAATATGGAATTAAATTCTACCACAGTGCCCAGGTTTCACGCCTGTATTAACAATAGTTTGCAACTATGGGAAACAGAAACTTTCACAATTGCACCTGCTGGATAATTTACGAAAACAAGATATCAAAGAGACATTTTGGCATATATTAAGTAGGAAGACAGGCAAATCAAAATAGAGCTAAGGACAGAAGTGCATCATTTCAAGTTGCACAGCACAGCACAAAGAGGAAATATGAATAGAAAAGGAAAAATAACAATAGATCAGTAATGACACACAGCATTGCGTGTGCATCGTTACGATCAACTTTGAGCGCTGTCGTTTAGTGTCTCCAACGGATAATTCCTTTGGAATCGAGAGTTCTAACCGGCCAATGTATATCTGTGTGCATGCCTTCGACTAGCAGTTGGAGACTTTGTAGACCGGTGCTACATTTTGCAATGACCACCTTTAACTTTCTTTAAAGTCTATTCTACTTCACTTAACATTGTTCATCAAGGTAGACAGTGGCTTGAAATGCACAACATTTGACCTATTCACCTCAATTTTTCAAGGTTTTCACTGACCAACTTGGTTTGCCTAGATTCACACTGATCAGATTGTGGTTCCAATAGAAGCAAAAAAGGCCAAAAAGACACATATGGTTCAAAAAACTTGCAACTCTCTATATCTTTTAGAGAGCTTCATCCGAATTTTCGGCTTATCTCGACTCTTCTGCCTGGACTACTCCTCATTATAAACTGTACTTATTAGAATCTGGTGGATTGGTCCACTCACAGAACAGGAGACATCTAGGCAACGCTTCTACATGAAAACGAACACACTTACCACATCCCTCTGTTAGACTCCCTCGAAGGTGATGAGTGTATTTACAGAAACCTTCCAATTAGCAGGCTACAATGCATCCAAATACGCTGGATAATGGGATCACTGACAGTACTCATCTTCCAGTTGACAAAGGTGCGCGATATGTCTCAGTGAGTCTCCAGTCTTGGAGAGCAGATGAAACTGAACTTCCTGAAGAGGTATCCTCCTCTCAGCATACTGACTCACTGAAGAGGCTCTCCTTGGCTGCGGATATACAGTCAATGCTAGGACTAGTGATATTGGCACTGCAGACTAAATATGTCACACTGGCGTTAGATAAACTACGCCTGTCTTTAACAACTGCTTCAACAACAGCGGCTACCGAAATTAGGAAGAGGGAGTCATTTAAATTCGGTTGCACTGGTTGGAATCCTAGTGACTAGCTAGAATGTCCGTACCTTGAAGACCCATGCAACTGACCTACGCATATGGATAACGTTGACCGATGATCATGTCTCATTACCATCATTCAAAACTCTTTAACTGTCATTGCACTAAAAGTTCTGCTTCTTTTCTCTTTTGAATTTCATAGGGGTATAAGTTTATGAGTAATTTGAAATCCATCATGAATATACGAAAGTGAATCAAGTTATGAATGAAATCCTCCCAAAATTATAAGTTAGTAATTTTATTGTTTCTGGTGTACTCCTTTCACAGTGAAAAACAAAAATACTTTGTACAGTATTCTGAAGATCCTAACAAAATTTGTGGTGCTTTTATGATTCGCTACAGAGGATTAAAACTGGTAGATTACAAAGGATGCAGTAAACCTGTCTCTTCTCAACTATGCATATTTTATCGTAAGCCGTTGACAGTAGTGATACAGAAGGCTGGAAATCAGATCACGCTTAAAAACTCTGTTATTGTTTCTGATAGCAGCAGTATGATGAGTTTGGAATCAGACTGTCTGAGGGTAGTGCCAGAGATGGTAAAATACCTCATCAACACAAAGTCACTTAGGATTTCATGTTAGACTGAAGTTTCTAGGTAAAGTAGAAGGCAAACAAATACCCACTCCTCGGTAGTAAATTTAAGAAAAAAGATTAAAATGTACTAAACTCTTTAGGCACTGTATCCAAAGTTAAAAACCAGAACATGATATAAACTTTTGGAGTGTAGAGTTGGTAGGGTCTGAAGCGTCTAAGACATATGTTCGTGACGTAAACCCGATTAAGATAGATCTCCTAAACATTCTTCTAGAACATTTCTTCACAAGATTAGTTAAATGGTAGGAGGATAAAGCTGTTCACACATGATGTCTTATTAAGATTGTACTGAGAACACATGAAGAGGGTGGGTTTGTCCCTAGAAATGTCAACGAGAATAAAGATAAGAATAGTAGCTTTAGGACAGAATGAAGAGAATAGAGGCAGTGGATTAACTGAAAACCAAGGAACATAAAGGGTAAAAGCCATGTACATTTTAGGTTTTCAAGATGGTAAGGTTTTGAAAGCCAATATTTATGAGGCAGCTGTTCATAAATCAGACAAACAGTCTAGTGGTCTATCGCTAATTTAGCGGAATGCTTAAAACCAGTTGTAAAAAAGTCACTTGAACGTGTTTAGCTGCGCATAAGAATATCTCTTCACTTCTGTTATAAATATATTAGGACTGATAGAGTCGCAGTTGTTAAGGGTGGTCGCGTAATCCTTTGTATTCACAAGAACCTGTGGACACTCTCGACTACCTCCCTGAAATGCAATAATGACACCTTTGAGACTGTTAGATGCGAAGTCACACCTAAGTACAGTGTTGTGACGACAGAATTAACTTACAGGAATCTGAGTCACCTTGCAGATGACTTCGTGTCAAACTGCTTTAAGAAGTGGGTAACTAGCAATAAATGCCTGACTGTAGAAGATTTTAATGCAGCTTATATTACCTAATAAGAGCTCGCCATCATTTAGTCGGATAGAAAATTTCATAACAACCTACTTTTGACCGCTCTAGAGTACACACTGGTTCGGCGTCTCCTAAACTCTATGATTGAACACATTAGTCATCAGTTTTCGATTAGTTGCCACAGATCAATATGAGGACATGGCAGATCTAAACACATGCGCCAAATGGCTAGTAGTGATCATGTCATTAGATTTAGGTTTAGAATGGAAGATTTGATTTGTGATTGAAGTGAAGACTGAAGAGAAATAATAATCACTAATAATGATTGCAGTAACATGTCAACACCCTAAACTGACCTTGATGAACTTTGTGAATGGTCTAAAAAATGAACCCCAGAAATCAATCCCAGGGAAAGTACAGTAATGTACTTTGAGAGTGACTACTCCTGGTTTGGAACAAAAAGACTTAGGAGTTATCGTAAGTCACTACTTAAAGACAACTGTGGAGTTTGACGTTTCTGCTGCAGAAGTGTTTCACATGCTTTGGTCGATTCTTAAATGCATTGATTATTGCATACACAGCCAGATTATGCTTAAGTTTGGAAGCTGATACTTTACATCAGGTTGCCAGGATCATGGCAGCAAGACTCAAATCAAAAGGAAGGAAAGTCACAATCATTCAATGCTACCCTACGTGCCTACAAATAATGCAGATGATGAGAAAAAGGAGAAATTCTATAGAAGACTGCAGTCGGTACTAGACAAGATACCACTCCAGTTGGCGACACCACAATTCTAATGGGCTGGGTGACATGAATGCCAAACTGGGAGCGGACAACACAGGAAGAGAACTCATCCTGAGTGGAGAGTCAGCGAGTGAAATGAACGAGAATGGAGAACTGTTTGGAGACTTTTGTGCATTCAACGGTCTGGTAATTGGAGGCACTGTGTTCAAGCACGAGGATATCTACAAAGTGACATGGATTTCGCCAGATGGACACACTAAAAATCAGAATGATTTCATCTCAATCTGAGTAAAGTGGAGACGTAAACTACCGGACATAGGATCAAAAAGAGGAGTAGAGGTAGGTTCAGACTGCCGACTGGACGGAAGAAGGGCTACCATGTCAAACATCAAGAGAAGGAAGACCCAGGTATTTGCAAGAACTGGCACGAAATCTTGCTTCTGCCCCGGTGCACACCAAACAAAATATGCCGCATCATCCTGGAGAGACCAAGCAATTCGCTGGATTCGAAACTGCAACCGGAACAGGGTAGCTGGTGGGTTGGCTTCGGGAAGAACAAATCATGTGCGGACCGAATTGCAACGCTTCGCATTATCCCAGAACGGAGCATAGAATGACTCTCTACCTCAACTTCATCTACTTTGAAAAGGACTTCGATAGCATCGATAGAAAAGTTATTTGGCAGGTAGCTGCTTTAACACTATAAAGTACCACGAACTTTTATCAATCTCATTCAACAACTATATGAAGACGCCATATACCAATTAATTCACAAGGAGAAACTCAGTGATGCCTTTGAAGTGAAGACAGGAGTAAAACAAGGCTGCCGCCTACTATCACCCATGATATTCCTGATTGTGGTCGACTGGATCATGCAACAAACTGTGAGGAGCGAGAAGATACAGAATACAGGATACACTACCGTGGAAAAGAACCTAGAAGACTTGGATTTCGCCGATGACTTATGTCTAATATCGCACAAACTTGAGGACCTACAGGCGAAAACTTACAAGTTGTCAGATGAGGCAGTGAAGACGGGACTTCAAGTGAATGGAGAGAAGACAGAGGTGATGAAGATACCCAGCCAACAACAACAGGTACAACAAGTTCCAGTCACCATCAAAAGGAGAAACTTAAAGGAAGTAACCTCCTTCACCTATCTAGGCAGCACTGTCTCAGCTACAGGCGGCACAGACGAGGAAGTCAAAGCCAGGCAGGGTGGGAAAATCA